GTCGGACATAGGTGGGGCCTTTGATTTTTTGAACAAATAATACTATATTAATAAAAGTCATTTGGTTCAAAATGCCCCAACTCGGGGCCAAAATGCTATTCAAAATCTCCAGGGTGGGGTTGCAATTGATGATCAAATACCCCACATATACCCGAACCCCAATGGGGGTTAACATTGATAGGTGCATAAGTGACATTTCAACAATAGATCAGTACATTTCTTTGAATCACTGTATAAAATATTCCTCATAAACTCCCTCCAATCGTCGCACAGCAGAGTCTTTGGAAGGGTAAAACCAAGTTTAACATCCCCAGTTCAAAACACTTTCTGTGTCCTCTTAAACAAGCCTGTCCAGCTGGAGAACATCTGTCGTAATACTATAATAAATTTGGCTGTTAATTTTGTTTTATAGCGAACGAACGATATTTACCAAACCCTTTTGGAAGAATAGCAACTACATAGTTCCCATGTAATAAAAGCTGAAGAATTTGATTTCGAGTACGTCGGTAGCAAAAAGAAGGAAAAATTTCAAAGACTAAACACATTTTTAAGCCGCTCTAAGCACTTAAATTTTGTGGACACTCTTACGTTGGCGGCCATCTTGGATTTTCTAATCATTATTATTATAATTTATTACACCCACTATATCTGGGTGTTGAAAGTCATGTGATCGGCCGGTGCCAGGGCCTTTTCCAGCCTTCCCAGTGACAATAAGGAAAAAGCCCTGGGAACGAGGTTGAGCTGGATCGGCACCGACGGAGCCATGTTAGGTATGGAGGAAAGCCAAATTGGCCCTACCCTTTGCCGTAACGGACCCATCATTTTCCAATTTAGCCCCATCAATTGCCAATATGGCCCCACAGACCAAAACGACTCTCACGTCCGGGTTTGTTTTGGCCCCACACAAAGGGGCCGCTTTTGATCAACACATTGGCCCCTATGAGCTTCGTTTCGGCTCTCCATCGCGGAACGACTCTCGCATAGGTCAAATCGACCCTGGAATGAAATCGACCCTTTTGTCGAAACGACCCTTCTGTCAAATCGTCTCTTAATTGTGAGATTGTGTCAAATCGACCCTTCTGTCAAATCGACACTTAATTGTGTCAAATTGACCCTTTTGTCAAATCGACTCTTAAATGTGTCAAATCAACCCTTCTGTCAAATCGACTCGTAAATGTGTCAATTCGACTCTTCTGTAAAATCGACTCTTAATTGTGTCAAATCGACTATTAATATTGTGTCAAATCGACCCTTCCGTCAAATCGACAGTCTTAATTCTGTCAAATCGACCCTTCTGTCAAATCGACTCTTATTTGTGTCGATCGTCCGTCGTATGATCGTATCAAATTAACTTCCGCATAAAACTTAAAGAATGCACATGCTCGCAAAGAAAAAGAAGAGTACGTTTTTTGGATTATACAAGGTGAGATTTGATGTTTCATTTTGTAGGGTATTGAAATTTGTTTTCCAGATTTTTAGTAATTTTATCGTAAATATAAATATGGTATTTGTAAAAATTAATCACGAGAATTGAACGTGTAATCATAGAGTAAGGCCTAGGTGTGATATTAATGATCGCGGGAACTGGGAACGAGAATGCACGCGCCCGTAAGCAATCGGGTTTGCGATCATTCTCGAGCATGCGTACTAACTTTTGGCGCCATTATCGAACGTTGGCCGTTGGGATTTACTTCGGCGAGGGATACGGATAAAATACAAGCGTAAAACCTCGTTCGTTGCAGTATATTTTGGACAAATAAACAATTTATTCGGAAAATACGTTCAAGAAATGTCTCGTGCTGTACTAGCGTAATTCTGGCAAATGTTATTTACTTTCTTCACCTTCGTGTCGACGACTGTTGTTTGCTGATTGCCAAATCACAACGTTACAGCGGGCATCAATTATTCAAAATATGTTCTTATAGCTTCACGTTTACGATACGAAACACGTTTTAATGTAAGATTATTTATTTTTTGTATATGTAGGTTCTAGTTGAAAGTGACAGCGACGATGAAAAAAGTGCACACAACATTGAAATATCCAGTTCACTCCTAGCTCGAATCCTGCGACATATCACTTGCTAGTAGCCCAGTCTAGTTTAACTTTTCCCAATCAAGAATCATCTCCTGAATCAGGCATACTGGCAACACTGGTTCATTTGATAATGTAAGTTTTTATACTGGTATATTTTAGATTATAGCTTCTGTCAAATCAGGATGAAAGTCATGCATGAATTGCTTATAAATACACAAACAGGGACGTAGCGAAGGTGTGCTAGTTGGGGGGGGGGGGTGCAATGCAGTAATTTACCTGATTTTACACTATTGTAAAAATGTACCTGAGATTATAAACCCCCCCTATCTTTGCGGACTGCAATGTTGTGGTGCATTTCTCCCCTGCACAGTTATTATGCACCTAGCTAGATATTTAACCCACATTTAATTTTACAACATTTTTTTCTTGCTTTTTCAATCAATATAATATGTTTGGGTTATTTTTGTTCTGCTAAATTAAAGAGTATAAGCCACACGAGAAGAACACGAGCATATACAAACCGAGTACCCCGAATAGCACTCTTGATCTCCACTCATTTTATCAATTAGGTAGTTAAATCTAAAATACCATAATCACATTGATTAGTTACCTCTTGGCCTGCCAATAACTATAGTCAATTTTAACAAGTTTTTGTCGAAGCAGTCCATCCGCCTTTTTTATGTAGGGGAAAGGAACGACAATTGTGAATTGATGTAATTTATATAATAAAGATAATTTTTAGCTGAACTAGAACTGCGTTTCCCTAAACAATGAACAATAATGTTACATAGTAGTTATTTGTTAACTAATGATTTTAACCTTCAATAGTAAGTTATTGTTTTCAAGCAATCGCCAATCGGCGGTTTTTCAAGATTGACCATTTTTTCGCGATCGCAGTAACATCAAAGACATCAGTGATATTCTTTTCAGCGGCAAGGATCATGCAATCATTCAAACGTTTTCCAGATATGTTATTGCGTGAATAACTTTTTACAATCTTCAATAAACTGAATGATCTCTCATTTTTCACAACGCCAACGGCATGGGCGGCTGTCAGAAATAGTTTATAAAACTTTGAAGCCAACTTGAAAAGACCATGCTTTTTGGCCACTTTAAGAGCAATGTTTGCAGCGATCGTACATGGCATGGGTTTTGCCTCAAGACCTAGTGACTGACGTTCTTCTTCCATTCGTCTGTGTTCCTTCAGCACATTTTTAAAGAAAACGGACAATTCGCTGTGTAATGCTGGGCTTTGTTCCTGTTGTTTCTGGATGCAATACCTTTAGGAACGGATTAAAAGTGTCCTTAAGACCAATTTGTTTCTCCATTAATTCCATTAATCCTCGTTTTTGTTTGCCCAAAAATCACAAAAGGTCACATACTTAGGTTAACATCAAGTCTCAAGACGTAGTTGTTCACGCTGTTCACTGTGTAATAAATAATGCATAAAGATTATACGCGTATAATATAGAGAACAGTAAGGCTAGAGCAATGCCCTCGTAATGGCTCATTCAACCTAAACTATTCAAGAATGTTACATATCTACGAGAAAAATCTTTAGATATTAGACGAATATTGCGTATATATCGGCCATTTGTGTAGAATTATTAACGAACTACTATATAAGTAAAAATATGACAAAATACACGACACACAATACACATCACACATGTGCATCACACATACAGACGTTCAAAATTTACATCCGGATATCATATCCTTGTTGTTGTATTAATCTAAGCAAACAAATAATTCTATGTCTTCTATGTATTTCAAATACACTGTATTACTATCAAAAAGTAGATGAAATTAATATAATTTCTTGCACGTACCTTGACTTTGTGTGTAGAGCCAAAACCGAAAGCGCATGTTACTTAGCGAAAAAATTATGGTTTTATTTCCGATGGAAATAGTAAAATAGACAACATATTCTTTTCTTAAAATAAAGCCTGGCTACATTGATAAAACGGAAACCTCTGAACGTATCAGCGTATGAAGCCATAAAGAATTAAAACCTCATCTATTTTCCGCATTTCAATCCTCTAATATTTGCCTGTTTTCGTTATGGGTTTTCAAGATTTTTTACCTGATTTATTAATGCCAGTTTTTCATGGATTTACCTGAAATTTTCAAATCGTCTTAGTTACGTCCCTGTACACAAAGGACATTTCAAGTTCCAGATTAACAAGATACATTTATCAAAGCTTTGATGAGTGTTCCAACTATGTTTCAACTTAATTAAAATACTCTCATCCTCGTTTGACCTATAATTATTTGTTGATTTTACTCGATACTAAGTAGTGAAACATCGAATCGAGATAAAATCTTATGCAGAACCCACTGTAATTCCGAGCTGTAATCACATAATTATATAAAAGTCGTTTCAGTAGCAGCAAAAGCCAAACTAAACACCAACTAGGATTAATAGGTTTAGCTTTTAGGATCGGAAAATAATAGACGATTGACAATTTTGTGGCTGATTGATTAATTAATAGTATACTGCATATTGATGTTGTTGTATACAGCCATACAGGACATCTGACAAACATGTCAAATTAATAGTCGAATCTATGATTATATTGAGCATGGTAGATTTGACATTTGAAACATTGTTGATGTTAATAACCCATTGAGTCGCATTACGCCCTGATGCGCACTAAGTATTTATTATTTTACCCTGGCTATCTAACGCTAGGCAATTTTACTCATCAAGGGGAGAGCACTGGCGGTTAATGTGTTATCTGCCCATGTGTACATAGTTAACCCATTGAGTCGCATTGTGCCCTAATGCGGCCTAATTTATTGTTTTACTCTGCCTATCGCCGGACAATTTTACTCATTAAGGGCAGAGCGCGCCAGCTTAATGTGTTAACTAGCCTATCTGCCCATGTGTCTAGTTAACCCATTGAGTCGCATTGCGCCCTAATTTATTATTTTACTCTTTCTAACGCCAGACAATTTCACTCATTAAGGGGAGAGCACCGGTGCTTAATGGGTTAACTGGCTTGTCTGCCCATGTGTGTTGTTAACGCATTGAGTCGCATTGTGCCCTAATTTATTATTTTACTCTGTCTAACACCAGATGATTTTACTCGTCAAGGTAAGGACGCTGGTGCTTAATGGGTTAACTGGCCTATTAGCCCATGTTTATAGTTAACCCATAGAGTCGCATTGCGGCCTACTTTATTTTTTTTACTCTGTCTCGAGAGGAGAACGCTGGTGCTTAATGGGGTTAATATTGAAAATATAGATCAACATGTCAAAACTCATGACTTGTGCAATCATTTCTGTAATAATTAAGATATTAAAATACCAAATATAATTGCCTTATGGCTTATTTCAAATAGGGCGATGCTATGTGACTATGTCCATTGAAACTGAGTGGATTTGTTGTACGTCAAATAAATGCTAGCCATAAACATATTCTAGTCAATTGAAGAGAATGTAGAATTGTACTTTACATAAAATTCGCTAGTTATTGTACATTAATGCTAAAAAAAATGCATTTGAAGTGGAAATATATTGTTTTAATTTTATTTCTATGGTTTGTACTATGACATACATGGGCTATACACTCTTTGGGAACCCGCAGGGCTGTTGGCAGAGCATTTCCATGATCTGCAACTTCAGTCCTAAACACGATGTGTGGGTGTGAAGATGTTGTGTAGGAACAGAACTGTACAGATTAGAAATATGATTACTGATATTTTCCAAAGAAAAACTATTAATATATAGAAGAGGAAAGAAAGAGGCAATAAATAGCCCAAAGTATCTGTTGTACATTTGAAATTTAAAAATGGTAGGCTTATTAAAGATGAGATACAGAGAAAAACAGTAATGCAGAACTACATTCTCTTAAATTGTAAAAAAATTAAACACTACCAATCTTGGTCTCGTTTCAAACTTGAATAACGAAAAGTCTAAAAATATAAAAACTACAAGAACAGATCAGCTAATCCAGTTATAAAATTGAATGATGAAGGAAAGTTGTCATTTTAGTGTTGTTTTGGGGTGTGTAAACTCATGACGTTACATGTTTCTGGTGAATCTGTGCTTGCTGCAGCAAAAATTTATTAATCGTTTGTGATATAATTCAGAAGATGTCTATTTTAACCTGTGCGTTGCCAAACTTCTTAAATATGGAATTTGTTTTGTCTGACCAAGATATAATGAATACCACTAGTGACATGAGTATGTCCAATTAATATTTAACTAGAAATAAATGCATGCAGCAACCCCTAGCCTATATTTTTCAAACATTGATTTAACATGAGCTATTAGCAATTGGCCAGCACTGAACGCAGGCTCGCGTTGTGTCAAGTGTTGTCAAGGCAACATAATGTCACATTATATTTTAAATTTTTTTGAGTAATTTTGCAAGTGTTCATACCACATAATCTACCATACATAATTTTAAACAAATAGATAGGTGAAGTAATTCAAACAAAATGATTTTGAACTTTATTACTCTACTCTGTCGAATGCCTACTCTACTCGTAAAGGGGAGAGCCCAGGTGCTTAATGGGTTAAATAAGATCGTATAGTTATATATATATCATGTATTATGTTTTTATGCAGTCTCCCTGAATCACTTGTACCAGGCTATGGAAATTCATGTTTCCAATTTTGTATATTTATTTTTCTTATGATACAGTATACTGTAAATTTGAATAATATTTGTGTGCTTATATTGAGCTTATTTTTAGGAGAGTTTGTTGCGTGGCAGGATATATTTTGATATTTCAAAATATTACTGTATATTGGTATGTTATACTTGCCGGTAATGCTTTTGGAAGGGTTATAGGTGTCGGGTGTGATATACTTTTCCAGGTATTTTGTGTCTGATGTATGTAAGAGCTTTATTGGGTTTCTTGGTGAGACCTTATCTTATGTGTCCCATAACCCTCTGTAATTGCGGATTATTGCATACATTCTAATTGTATTTTTTTTGTAGGAGTCCGAAGATGCAAATGATACAATTTCAAACTTATCACAACCCATATTGTGGCCGCTGGCAGCGAACTAGAATACGACTAGAAACTGTCAATCATACGTTATCGAGGGGAAGGATGAAAGTTCCATAACAAGCAACAGTTGTTTTGATGCAATTATCGCCTTATTGGCAAGTTTTTACATCTTCAATATTGAGTACTGCCACACGAAGAGCATCTTGTCTGCCTTGCAGACTATAGTAGTGCATGGGCAACACAGAAAATGGCATACAACTGCCAATAGTGAGTTTAGGCAAGTGACGTTTTTGACAACACGGACGTCGACCAGAAGTAAAGTTGACGTTTTTCACCAATCACAGCCCTTGACCCAGTCTTCTGACGTTGCTCATGCCGTCCGTGTTGTCAAAAACGTCACTTGCTTAAGCTCACTAATGAGGGTCACAGCCCTCTTCAATGACTTGTCATGACTCATGAATATTAGTACTGCAGTAATTTTACACTTTTTGAGAGTTATGTTGACATATGCTAACCCAAGTTAATGTTATTGATGGAATGTGTGTATTGTCTCACATCTCACCGAACTGTGGTAATTTATTAGAAATTATTCGTATTGCGTTCACGTTAACAACCGCGCCTGCTATTGCTATCACAAGTTGATTGCTCTTTAAAATTAGAATTGTAAACTTTCGGAGCCATATGGCATATATGTACGAATCTTTTGATGGTTCCCACATTTCGGTGAGATACATAATACTGATTACTGTGCATGTATATTGTAATTTTAGTTATAGTATTGTGTTTATAATACAGAAATTGGAACATTATTTATCCCAACTTATATTACAATAATTCATTCCAATCTTGGTCTGTTGGAGAATTTGTAATAAGACCAAATAAACCCCATTATTCGGTTTTGCCTGATTCATTATATATACATGTAGAATACGTCTACATGCAAGAGTGCAACCAAATCATGCACATGACTTTAAATGCTATATAAAACGGCACTGGCACCAAAAAGCTATATCACCTCAATCGGTTCTAAAGCCCTCTTCATTGGGGCTGAGACTGCTCTCCTCTGAAAGGGCCAGAACAGCTCCGGTTAACAAAGTAGGGGTTAAATTGGCTTTTCTTTTGGATCTATAATGGCTCTGAAATTGGACCAAATTGACCCTTTGGATGCTACAAACTACACCATGAAAAAAGCTATATTAGCTCCTTTGGCTCTAAAGCAGCT